CATCCCCCCCCGCCACAGTCGGTGCCCCCCTCTCCTCCCCCACCCTCCCCCACTGCCTACAACTGCCCCAAGTCCCCAACTCCCAGAGTCTACGGGACGATCAAGCCCGCGTTCAATCAGAACTCCGCCGCCAAGGTGACCCCGGCAGCTCGCTCCGACACGGTGGCCACCATGATGAGGGAGAAGGGGCTGTACCACAGGAGGGAGCTGGACCGCTACTCCCTGGACTCCGAGGACCTCTACAGCCGCAACGCCGCCGCCCAGGCCGCCTTCCGCGGCAAGAGGGGGCAGATGCCCGAAAACCCGTACTCCGAGGTGGGGAAGGTGGCCAGCAAAGCCGTCTACGTCCCCGCCAAGCCCGCCAGGCGGAAGGGCGTGCTGGTAAAGCAGCCCAACGTGGAGGACAGCCCCGAGAAGACGTGCTCCATCCCCATCCCGACCATCATCGTCAAGGAGCCCTCCACCAGCAGCAGCGGCAGGAGCAGCCAGGGCAGCAGCACGGAGGTCGAGCCCCAGGCCTCCGAGCAGCCGGGCCAGCTGCGGCCCGACGACAGCCCGGCCGCCAGCAGCCCCTTCGCCGCCGCCATCGCCGGCGCCGTCCGCGACCGGGAGAAGCGGCTGGAGGCCAGGAGGAACTCGCCGGCCTTCCTGTCCACGGACCTGGGGGACGAGGACGTGGGCCTGGGGCCGCCCGCCCCCCAGGCACGGCCCTCCAAGTTCCCCGAGGAGGGCGGGTTCGGCGAGGAGGACGGCACCGAGCAGCTGTCGTCACCCACGCCAGGGGCGGCGACCGGGGAGCCCGAGAACCACTTTGTGGGTGGTGGCGAGGCCGGAGCTCAGGGTGAGGCCGGCAGGCCACTGAATTCCACGTCCAAAGCCAAGGGGCCCGAGAGCAGCCCTGCAGCTCCCCTCAAGAGCAGCAGTGCGGCCGGCCCCGAGAATTACGTCCACCCGCTCACGGGGAGGCTGCTGGACCCGAGCTCCCCGCTGGCCCTGGCGCTCTCTGCGAGGGACCGAGCCTTGAAGGAGTCCCAGCAGGGCCCCAAGGGGGAGGCCCCCAAGGCCGACCTCAACAAACCTCTCTACATCGATACCAAAATGCGGCCCAGCGGGGAAGCAGGCTTCCCTCCGGTCACCAGGCAGAACACGCGGGGGCCCCTGAGGCGGCAGGAGACGGAAAACAAGTACGAGGCCGACCTGGGCAAGGAGCGGAAGGGCGACGAGAAGGGCACGCTCACCAACGTCGCGGATGCGTCCCAGCGGAAGTCGGCCGGCCTGCTGATGGTACACACCGTGGACGTGGCCAGGCCGGACGCCTTCCTGCAGGAAGAGGACGAGGATGCCGACGCGGAAACGAAGCCGGACCGCTCGCCGTCCGAGGTGCCAGAAGGCGTTCCCGAAACTGAAGGTGCTTTACCGATCCCCGCTGGCCCCGAGCCCGCGGCCGCCGCGCCCGGCAGGACCGTCGTGGCGGCGGGCTCCGTGGAGGAGGCGGTGATCTTGCCGTTCCGCATCCCTCCCCCACCTCTGGCGTCCGTGGATCTGGATGAGGATTTTATTTTTACAGAGCCACTGCCTCCTCCCCTGGAATTTGCAAACAGTTTTGATATCCCCGATGACCGCGTTGCTTCTGTCCCTGCACTCTCGGACCTGGTCAAGCAGAAGAAAAACGACGCCCCCCAGTGCCCTTCGTTGAACTCCAGCCAGCCCACCAACTCTGCGGACAGTGAGAAGCCAGCTGGCCTTTCGAACTGTCTGCCCGCCTCATTCCTGCCACCCCCCGAAAGCTTTGACGCCGTCACGGACTCTGGGATCGAGGAGGCGGACAGCCGGAGCAGCAGCGACCACCACCTCGAGACGACCAGCACCATCTCCACGGTCTCCAGCATCTCCACCCTGTCCTCCGAGGGCGGGGAGAGCGTGGACACCTGCACCGTCTATGCAGATGGGCAGGCGTTTACGGCCGACAAGCCCCCAGTACCTCCGAAGCCAAAAATGAAGCCCGTGATTCACAAAGGCAACGCGCTTTACCACGACGCGCTGCTGGAGGAGGACGCGGACAGCTTTGTGATCCCCCTGCCGGCACGCCCGCCGCCCCCCGGCGCGGCCCAGCCCGGGACCACGAAGGTTATCCAGCCGAGGACCTCCAGGCTGTGGGGTGACATCTCGGAGGTCAAAAGCCCGATTCTCTCTGGCCCAAAGGCGAACGTGATTAGTGAGTTGAACTCAATCCTGCAGCAAATGAACCGAGAGAAAACGGCAAAGCCGGGGGAAGGACTGGACTCGCCAGCGGGATCCAAGCCTGCCAGCCTCGCTCCAAGGTAAGTGCCGCGGCCGGCGTGGGCGCAGGCCATCCCGAGCCGGGCTTTCCTGTCCCGGCCAGTGCTGACCAGGAAATGCCCTTGGGAGCAACGGAAGCGGACACGGACAGGGAAATGCATAGAGCCTTCTGTGTCGGCCGCCTCTCTCGTGCGCTCACGTGCCCCTTTCTCGTCCCCTGGACGCCGGTGCCGCAGAGCTGAGCGCGTCTGGCCCGGCAGGACGTGGCCCCCGCGTAGAGACGCGAAACGAGACACTTGCCACACAGGCCATCCCCGCCTTGGCTTCCAGGGAGGAGCCCTGCTCTCCCCTCCCGCGTCCTCCGGCTCTTGGCCAGGACCCCTCAAAGGCCATTCTGGAGCCTCACGCAGGGGTTGCAGGGGAGGGGTGCCCCGGCCGGGGGTCGAGTGAGCAGCGTGTGTGCATCTCGCGTGTGGTCGCGTGTGCGTGAGGGGCGCAGCGTGTGTGCATCTCGCGTGTGGTCACGTGTGCGTGAGGGGCTCTTTCCCCTCCTCCCGTCACTAACTGGTCTGAGACGGGGAGGGGCCGGGTTGCGGATCCACTAGTGAGCTCAGAGTGAAATGCAACCCTGGAGCCCATCCTGACCCAGGGCGACATCATGGAAGCAAAGCATGCGATGCTCCCAGCGTGTGCGCTCACAACGTCAGGCAGAGCGTAAGGCACTGCCTAGGGACCGGGGGTCGCACGTGGGGGGCCAGTCCTAAACCCAACCCCAGGGCTCTGTCAAGGCATGCCACACTGTAACAGCCCCCCACCCCCGCCCTGCCCC